CCCTGTCAACACTGGTTCTCCACTTGCGAAGTAACTCCCTTCTCTCCATGTGTCAGTATATAATGCCTGCATCTGTAACTTTCACTCTATGCATCTGAAGAAGTGAGGTTTTTACCCACGAAAGCTTATGCCCAAATAAATCTGTTAGTCTTTAAGGTGCCACCAGACTCCTTAAACTTGTAGACTTATTCTGCTAAAATGAAGTCCTTGATCTACAGGGCAAATACAACATAGACAGCTGTAATGCAAGGTTTCCCACAATACTTTATCAAAGACATCAGCCTTGACCCAGAGCGAGCATTTGCAATTCAGCTGCCAGACTACAGAAGAGCTAAGCTTTTTCTGAGTACAAGTTGCTGACTGTGCCAATACAGTGACAAACTCTGTGAGGTGAAGTTTTAAATAGACTAAGATCAAATACAGTTAGTGGCTTCATCTTCAAGCTCACGCTGAATTTGACCCGCAGTCACAGAAGTTAAGGAAATATGCTGTTTGTAGAGAGCATTCAAGGCCTTTTAAATCCAGAAAGCATTGGTAGATTATTTAACTACAGTTTAAAGCAAACAAGATAAAAATCTTTATTTGGACACTATGCATCCAGACCCATGATTTTGTTTTAATTCCAGGGAAGAATTAAAAGCACATGGAAGACCTGAGCTTAACAACACCTTTTGGACTTTTATGGGGACTGGAAACAGAGGTAACACTTGTGTCAATTTGCAGTGCAAGAGAGATTTAATACGCACTACTCTTGATAATACTTAGTCCTGCCTTGAGGGCAGGGGACTGGACTAGATAACTTCTCAAGGTCTCTTCCAGTCCTATGATTCTATGTAGGGAAACAGAAGAGAGCATGAAAGGGGAGGGTGGGAAAAACCCCAAAGATTCTAATCAGAGCTAAGACATTGCACACTCATTGTCTCAATGACATCTATGTTGTTGGATGAGAAAACAAACAAGAGAAAGTCTGTTCTGATTTATAAGGGACGTTTTACCATAGATAGTGAAACTGTCACACCAAAACAAAGGAAGAAAAGTAAAAATAGGTAAATGTTCTTTTCACGTTGGAGAAGATATGCTCATTTAATATTCACCAAGGCAAATTATATTTAATTTTTGTGAAATCCACATAGCTGAATTTTTTCTCGTGAGTGCATGGTGCATAGACAAGATTCCAAACCAAGAAACAAATGTTTCATTCCTATAATTAAAAAAAATAATCAAACTTCCAGAAAATTTCTAGATAAAAATCAAAGGAAAGAAAAAAAAAATCACACCATCAATGTAAAATGCCACCTTCGAAGTTTCCTTTCTTTTCTCTATCTACCTTTTGTTCTGTAGAACTGAGTCACTTTCCTCTAAATGAGAGATAAAATACAAAGAAAACCTATGCACCTCTCGATTCGCTATTAACTGACATTTGACTCTCAAATGGTCAAGGATCCACTCAGGTGTTTGCCATGTGGATAAATCAAAGTAGCAAGTTTCCTGCCCAGCCATTTCAACAGACTGAACAATTATTTTTGTATTCCTCAAATCATAAATGTCACTTACCCTGTAATCTCTTGATACAATGTCTGATGGCACAGAACCTGAAATCTGACTAGAAATGGTAGCAGCTATGAGCTGTTTACACCATTCAACATGGGATCCTGTAGGGCTACAAGAACAAAATAAATATTTCAGAGTGTTTAGCCATGATTACTACTTTACACTGAGGAAGTGATGAGAACATTTAATTACACCCCACATGAACACAACCAACAAACAATTACACAAACACTAATGACATTATACTCTTAAAGAACAGAGTACATACCACCTTTTTGCCCATCAGATTACTGAGAAGAATTCAATTTTGTTGGAATCTGCCATTAATTTTGATTCAGACGTGCAACTGTTAATCTACAAAAATGTTCAGGGCCCTGGGGACATGAAGCTCTTGATTCCCTTATCAGATATTGTTAAAACTATTCATATATTTCTGTTTAAGGCCATCAAAAATAATTTATTTTGATCAAGTGCTTCCAGGACCTAAGTGCTTTCAAGAATTTCATATATGTGACACTATTATTCAAATAAAGCCTAAGAGATAGAAGCTATTCTAACACTGCCATGTAAAAGGAAATGAAATATTCTCTAAGGGAACACCTCTAAAACAATAAGAAAAAATATATAACTCTTCTTCAAGGGAATTTTCTACCTAGCTGTATCTCCTTTTTTGCATTTGCTAACGACAGGGAGACTCATTTCACATTACTGAACTTTGTAGTTTAGCAAGCACACAAGACAACACCCCCCGCCCCTGCCCACTCAAGATACTGCATCAGGCAAGTCTACAGCAGAATTTCACTAATCTGGACTAATGCAATGTGTGAATGGGACAAGGGCAGTGCAGACTGGTAAAGTTCAGAGACTAATAAATATTGAGACGGGCAGAACCACTGTAATTTGCCACCAGCAAATTTTAAGTGCCCTAGGTCTATTTCAGTATATTTCAGAGTGCCAGATGAGAGGATGGGGGAGTAATAGGATGCTCCCCATTTCCCTATTGTCCCTGCTCCAAGCACAGCAGTATAATCTCAGACTGTGCTTCAACAATTTAATGCATTTTAGTGAGGTGAGGTTCTTCTGTATACATAGTGTTTTTTTAATTGAAGTCAGAAACAGAAAGTACAATACATTTTAAAAATAGTATATAATGAACAAACATATAAGCTAATTTTGAATTCTGGGATACTCCCAGATTGTTAAAAGTGAATGACTAATAAATCACAAATGTACACGTCACGAACAGGTAAAACTGGGAGTTGAGTGGGCGTGACAGATTGTTCATCAAGAGCACAAGATACAATTTAAGAGGCCTTTCACACACTAATTGCATTGTGTCATAGTGAGAAACAGCATATGAGTTTCAAGAGGTGCTGGCTGAAGATAAGTGTGGTGAGCACTGCAGTAGCTACATATCTGAAGTGGAAGACCATCAAGTAATTTTTAAGTCATGGATTTTATTAGTTCTCTCCCTTGCTGCATAAACTTTAGACAGCACCACTTCATAATCTGTGGTTTCATTATTAAAAATCAATTACATTCCTCCTTCAGAGAAGTCTCTTTTACCATAGTTAGTCTTGAACTGGATTTTAGTTTCATTTGCGTCTTTTGCAGAGAACTCTACCCACATTTTGGGGAACAGAGAAAGTGTATGAATTTTTAGCTACAAGTCCAGTTAATGATAGTATTTCTCTCTCTTTTGCTCATCCGTCTCTTTGATCTCACTTACTGGCCCTCTCCTTATTCCATGAAATTTCTGGTGTGTTTCTCTTCATGATAGTCTCTGGTTTTCAGGCATCTTTTACTTTTGCCCTGACTCCCACGTTTCTAAGCATTTCTCTAAGCACACACTTCTGTTTGTATTTCCCCATTTTGTTAATTATGAAAATAATTTGGGTTTTGATTAGGGATTGCCACACCAGAAAGTTTTGCCACTTTAAATATACAAGTCCAGTTGAAGCAGCAAAAGAAAAATTTAGTATCTATGGATGCAGTTATGCCAGCATAAAAGTGCTTACAACAGTATAAATTATTCAATTCAGGAAGGGAAATAAAGCTACACCAGTATAAAGCATCTTTATACTGGTATAACTGTATTGCTTAAAAAAACAAAAATCCACACACCCCTAACCAGCACTGATATACTTAGTGCAACTTTTCTAGAGTAGGCTAAGGTGGTCAGCTTAAACTGTATGCAACTATACCACATATAGCTTAATGGTTGACACATCTGAAAAGGAAAAATAGAAGTGGAAAACACATATTCGTGAAAATTAAAACTCAGTGGTTTCATTTCCACAGTGGTTCATGTAACATTACAAAGGCGCTCTGTTAGGAAAATCATAGTTAGAGTTGTGCTCTTAAAATGGGGCATAAACCCATTTTTTCTCCTAAAAGTGGGTGGCTTTTTGGTGTGAAATTTCAGAGTCAGAAAACTCAAAGGGCCTAAAAACTATATAATTTGGGTGGTATCTCTTTTTGTTTGTTTTGTTTTTACAGGAAGCGTCTGAAATTTGACTCTTACTGGATTTTTTTAGCAGTCTATTTATCAATCAGTTGCTATCTAAACATTCTGGGGAAAAACCTGGCAAAACTACTACTGATTTTAATGGACCCAGGATGTCATGCGTATCTTCACAAAATTTGGTAGAAAGGTGTCTTCTGAGTAGATTGTGTGAGAAGTGTGGGAGGATTGTGTTAAAATGGATTGTAGGTGATTATTGTGCACAAGCAGCTGCCAATGCATAAACTATGTGCAGCTCCTGACACATATGACAAAAGACTTTTATATGCAACGGCTGGCATTAGGGTTTATGTGCAGCTTCTGTTCACAACAGAGAAGGCTTTTACATACAGTTTTTAGAACATAATGATTCACATGCACCAGCTGCTGGTGTATCTCATCTTCTTTATCAGCAGGTGCATATATACCCACTGCCCAGGTCCCCCTCTCCAACTCTGCACAGAAACAAACCCACACTTAATCATAAAAAAAAGGAAATTAATCTATAAAAATGTGAAGTAATTAATGTTAACCACTTCACCACATACCTGACTCAAATCCACAAAACCAAGGAAGTGAAAAGTTATGCCACCTAAGAGCACATACCATCTTCTCCTTCACCAACAGGGGGACACACCCTATCATTACAGCTACTGTGGAACACAAACCACAACCATAACCCTGCCCTTCCCGATCCCCCAGAGAATCCCAACCTTCCATCATCCCCGTTACTAAATTTAATGAGCCTCTGACAGTCAATCGTGATCTCTGGATGCTAAAAGTCCGGCAGCACAGAGGGGCTAAGACAGGCTCCCTGTCTGCCCTGGCCCCGTGCTGCTCCCGGAAGCGACCAACATGCCCCTGTAGCCCCAGGGGGAGGAGCGGCAGAGGGTCTCTGCGCGCTGCTCCTGCCTGCAAGCACCACCCCCACAGCTCCTATTGGCTGGGAACAGGGAACTGTAGCCAATGGGAGCTGAAAGGATGGTGCCTGCAGGGAGGGGCAACGTGCGGAGCCATGTGCACCCCCCTCCAGGGGCCGCAGGGGCATGCTGGTCACTTCCAGGAGCGGTGCAGGGCTAGGACAGGCAGGGAGCCTGCCTTAACCTCGCTGCACCACTGCCTGGGAGCCACCCCAGGTAAGTGCCGCCCAGCGGGAGCCCGCACTACTCCTGCACCCCAGCCCGCTCCAGGAGCCAGCGCCCCGTACCCCTTCCTGCATCCTGAACCCTCTGCCCCAGCCCCCTCCTGGAGTCAGCCCCTCTCCTGCACCCCAACATTTTGCCCCAGCCCAGAGCCCCCTCCTGCACCCAAACTCCCTTCCAGAGCTTGCACCCCAACCCCCTGCCCCAGGCTCAGCCCAGAGCCCCCTCCCACACTCCAAACCCCTCGGCCCCAGCCCAGAGCCCACACCCCAACCCCCGCCCAGTGAAAGTGAGTGAGGGTGAAGAAGAGTGAGTGGGGCGGGGCCTTGAGTAAGGGGCGGGGCAGATCCTGGTTCACCCTTAAATTAAAAAAGTGATCTTGTGTGTAAAAAGGTTGGAGACCACTGATCTACGCCCAGCACAACTCCCCACTACAACCAATATCTGCAACTAATGATTTTAGGAGATGGTAGTTCATCAAAGGGGTGTGTACAGAAGAGAAGGCGAGTGGGGACATCGTTATCGTTGTCATGCATGGTCTGTGGTGTGCAGTAGCTATGGTAATAAATAATGTGTCAGTGACTTCCCCAAAAGCAATACTCTTAAGAAACTCCTACACACATTCTTCTGCCTCAGAAAAATGGAGTAAGGGATTTTTTGCTGCTGTTCTGAGTTTTTGTACTCCCTAAGACCCTGATCCTGCAATAAAGTTTGCCAGCACAGCACCCATTACAGAATCGAGGCTTAATTTTGTAGAGCACTTAGATACCATGCAATAGGTGCTATATTAAAAAAAATTCCTGTAAATGTCAACGGGTTGCAGATACTCAGTATTCATCAAGATCAGGGCCTGTAAAGATCTATTGGAATTGGAAAAGGTACAGAAAAGAGCAACAAAAATTATTATGGGTATAGAACAGCTTCCATCTGAGGAGAGATTAATAAGACTGGGAATTTTCAGCTTGGAAAAGAGACGACTAAGGGGGGATATGATAGAGGTCTATACAATCATGACTGGTGTGGAAAAAGTAAATAAGGAAGTATTATTTACTCCTTCTCATAACACAAGAACTAGGGGTCACCAAATGAAATTAATAGACAGCACCTTTAAAAAAAAACAAAAGGAAGTATTTCTTCGCACAGTCAACCTATAGAACTCTTTGCCAGAGGATGTTGTGAAGGCCAAAACTATAACAAGGTTGAAAAAAGAATCAGATAAGATCCATCAATGGCTATTAGCCAGGATGGGCAGGGATGCAAAACCATGCTCTGAAGTGTCCCTAGTCTATTTGCCAAAAGCTGGGAATGGGCGGCCAGGGATGGATCACTTGATGATTACCTGTTATGTTCATTCCCTCTCAAGCACCTGGCATTGGCCACTACTGGAGGACAGGATACTGGGCTAGACAGACCATTGGTCTGACCCGGTATGGCCATTCTTATGAATCACAGCAATGATGAATGTCAATATCACAGGAGGGAGGAGACCCACTACATGCACAGGCTAGGCTTGCTTTGATGTTGCAGCAGCTGCACACAAAAGTCTTTCCTCAGTGCCAGGAGCTGCAAGGTTCACTATTGGTACCACGGTACTGTTCCTCACATATGCATAGCGTGCTTTTTCCCCAGCCTAGCTGGTACCAAAGGAATACTATTCTCTTCCCATTTCTAAACACAATTATTTTGAACACTATAAGTAAAATATTTTTAAAATAACCAACTCTTGAATTATCTAAATTCCAAATTTCCATCTTAACCACAGAAAAGATACTCTCCTCACATGATCTGATAATTCTAAGAGCTAAAGGATTTGTTACTGAACTTGCAAGAAAGTTCTCTTTTCTCTTTTGGAAAGGTACAAGCCGGAAAGGTACAAAAGGGTATTGGGCAGAAATGTGTAAGTGTCTGTAAACAAGACTGAAAGTGGCTCCTCACTTCCTGTATATAAATAAATATTGCTAGTTTTTCACTCTCAACATCATGCTCTTCACAAAGTAGTTTGATCTCAAGGGACATCCACTGCAGTATATTAATCAGAAATCATTCTTTCCTATAATTCCAAGCCTATTAAGTGTGTGTCAGGGTTGAAGGAGAAAAAAAAGGGAGAGACTACCCGACACCATAGTCTAAAGCGAATATGAAGACCAATGCTATTACTGTTTTGGTGTACTTTTTGCTTGATTCCAGCTGCTCCCGTTTCCCCCATAATATTACCCATCAGTTTGTGCCGATTAGATTTGTTTTTGTTGATGTAACATACCTATGTATTAGCAGCTTTGAAAAGCTCTCTCAGATACCACTTCTCTAAGGTAAGTTAGGTAAAATTTCCCCCTATTTTTAAGATATCAAGTACATCACTCAAACTGGATTGTTTTCCATTTGTTTGTGAGGTGACAATGCCCATCTCCAGATTTATGTCAGTATCCTGCTGTGCTGAGCTGCATCTTAAGCTACGAGGGCACCGCTGGTGTAAAACAACAGTCTCACCCTTTTTGCAATAACTCACAGGGAAGTGAATTTTCTTTCAGCTATACCCCCCCCCCCCCCTTGGCTATCCATACAGCAAGAGAGGGCGGCCCTGGATGTTCCTCCCAGCGATGTTCAGCCCACGAAGGTGAACAAGCTGATACCAGGAGCTGGCATCAGCCTGGGACGAGCGGCCATGGCCGGAGACACGGAGCAGGGGGCTGCTGACGAAGGCAGGGGGCCCGGCTGGTGAATGGGGCGCTGGCCTACGCCGTCCCCCGCGTTAGTGCCGCCGCCGGCGGGTCCCCACCCCGGGGCAGATCGCGGCCCCGCGGACGGGTGGGGCTTGCCCTCACCCCTGCCCCCGGCTCCCCCACTAGTGCCCGGGGGGACACGGAGCCCGCTAAGCGGGGCGAGCCCCGGCGGCTGGGCCGGGCTGGGGGGGGACGTGCCCCGCAGCGCCAGCCAGGGAGAGCGGGGCGGAGAGCGACGCCTGTCAGGGCCCCGCGGGCAGGGGGCTGCTCACCTGTCCAAGGTCTCCGCGCTGGGCTGCCGGGAGCCCGCAGCGGGGGCAGCGCCCCCCAGCCCTGCCGGCCGCACGGATCTGCGGGCTACCCCGCCGCCCTCCAGAGCCGGCCCCAGCGCCCGCTCCATCTTTCCGGCCGGGATTGGCCGGTTTCCCGCCGGGCCTCACTCAGCCAGCCCGGCCCGGCCCAGGCGGCGGCAGGAACTGTCACCTGGCGGCGGCGCTTACCCACAGGCCTCCGCGGCGCCGAGAGGGCGGGGAGCGGGCGGCCAGGCAGGGCCCCAGAGCTGGGAGCGGGGCAGGGCAGGCCCTGGTGGTGCGCCCACCCCCCTGCCCCGGCCGGGAGCTGGGCCCGCCGCTCGCCCCCTCACACCGCGCGGGAGACGTTCCTGTGTCTGTCATAGCGAGGGGCCGGGGCAGAGCTCCCGCCACCCCAGGGCAGGGGGGGCTGTCAAGGGACCCCGCCGTCACCCGCCCTCGGACCCTGCCCTCCAAGGCCCCAGCTCCCAGAGCTTCCCTCTGTACACTAAGCCCCCTCGCCCTTTGCCTTGTAACGCCGAGGGAGCTGGGGCTCACAGATGTCCCGCTTTTATAGGGACTGTCCCGATTTGGGGGGGGGGGCTTTTTCTTATCTAGCCGCCTATTTCCCCCCACACCCTATCCCCATTTTTCATACTTGGCTGTTTGGTCACCCTAGTTTTAATGCCTCCCTGCTGCCCTATGCAGCCCTTAGGAGTCAGCTCTGCAGTCACACATGCAAAAGGAGAGGGCTAGTCACAGCGGCACTGGGGTGCTGACCCACACCTCCTTCCAGGGTCCTGGCATCCTGATGGAAATCACGCTGATTTGTGTGTAGAAGGAAGGGGGATTAAGCTCCCATCTGCGTTAGTGCCTAGGGTTAGCATGCAGAGTAGACGAGCACATCAGCAGTAAAGAGGGAAAAAAGGGTTACAGAGAACACTACACCTACTGGAGGAGGGAAGCTCCAGGTACTGTTGCTATCCCTCCTTCACCCACATAAGGCACTCCAAGCCCCTCTTCCACTGAGCAGGTGGTAGAACAAAATGAGCAGATCCAGAAACAAAAGGGGCACTTCCCTTAGGCCAGTGACAGGCATACACAACTGGAAGTGGTTTAGCATTTCCTTCATTAATGTAGAGATTACATTAAAGAGGAAATACAGCTTGGAAGAGCTCATTTATCTCACTTTAATAAAAGGGTTGTTTAGTTATGGTACTAACCTACTAATTAAAGTGATTCAACAGGTTTAATTTTTTTTTTAAATGTCAAATATAGCCTATGCCCAAAATTTCAGTGAGTTTTAGCCAGGGAAAGTTTGAAGAGTGTGTTACTGTTGGATGACTGAATCTAAATAAGACAGATTTTTTACTTTGATCCTTTTGACAACATGGCCAGTTTTGAAAGGGGGGAGAGTATAGAGAGTATATTGACATCCTGGTCTGTAACTAGTGGCATAGCTTTCATTATCAATCAGATTACAAGAAGATACTGGAGCAGCAAGCTCTTCCTGTAAAGAGGAAATAGGGTTGATATCAAAGATTTTTACTAATGGCAGTGGTAGATTTCATTTAGCAAGAACTCTAAGGAATCTGGTTAAAAAGTCTGACTGCATAACATTTGTTCCAAGTAGCCTGCCAAATGCAAATAAAGAACAAGGCTTATAATAGATTTTTAAGGAGCACACTTGTTTAAACAATAGCATCTTTAGTAATTAGCAAATATGCTAGTTCTATGATGCCAATCGTGAAATAAATTGATTTGGTAGCCAAACCGATTGAAAAGCATTCCAGTATTTGAGTAAAGTATAAAAAAAATCCCTCTAACAAGATAGTTTTAATCAGATGTTGAGGTCTGGGTTTTTATACTGACATTTTTTCTTTTACTCATAAACATGCAGCTGGATTTTATGCTCTTTCACAAGTCACTCAATTATGAAGAATTACAGTGTTACCACATCTGATAAGTTTGAACTGTAAGAACTTTGCGCCATTTACAAGGCAGCTAAAAACGCTACATTTTCAGAATTCTAGTCATTTATAAATATCAATGTTTTGCTGAGCAATGCCAGTGTCCTCAGTGCTGTACAAACAAAAGGAGTTAGTCTAAAAGACAGGTTCAGAGAAGACAGCAATGAGGGAGTTAGTTTATGATCAGTGTACCAGTATTGTGATGTTGGGGTGGAGAGAATGTGCAACAAGAGAAAAAAGTGAATTTTCAGAAGAGTTTTGAATAAGGAGAAGATGGTGCTTGATGTAACACAACTGAGTGGTCATTCCAAGCCTTTGAGATAGTATGCAAGTAGGAACAGAAGAAATAAACCAACATTTTGAAGCTGGCACTGGTAATCACAGTAGTGATGCATTGTATGTATGTGCAGCTTGTTCATCTTTTACATCTAAGCCCTGTCTGATATAAAAGAAAAAGCAGAATAATTTTTTGGGGGGGAGAAGTATTGGGGGATTTGTCACAATGAAGATTTACTGCAGTCATTTCGGCACCATGGTATAGTGCAGAAACATAGCACAATAAAAGACTGCCCAACATTGCTCTTAAAAATGCCTAAAAATTCTCTCCTCGTTCACCCTCCCTAAACTAAGAGTTTGGCAATTTTCATATAACTACCTTGGTCAAACACAATTGAGCTAACTGCTGTGTAAGGCCCAATACTACAATCCACTGCTGTGTCCTCATGTGGAGCCTCAGTGTTCACCAGCATGCATTGAACTGCAGGATCGGGACCTAAATAAGCAGCTTAAAACGAACAGAAAAAGCTGTGTATTAATAATGATCACAGTTTTCACACCTATATCCATAGCCACGTTAAGATTAAAAGGTTAGCATCCTAGAACAAATAGAAGCTTAAAGAATTAGAAAGGTTCTTTTTCGTATTTAAAATTACTATTTTAATAGAATTAAAAACAAGGGTTTTATTCTAAATCATTGTCTTGACAAAGAATCCAAGTGAACACATAGCTAAGTTAGAGGTTTCCAAAGAATGAATTTCAGCTCTAGCTACATAAAAAATGCAGTATCAACTGTATTGGCAATATAAATGAATTGTATATATGTAATGGAACAAGTGCATTTAATCCTTTTCATTGCATTAAACTTTCCCAAACAATAGGTTTATCATTTAGTGTTTATAAAGTAAAAACTAGATTTTCTTAACTCCTCCTGCACACTGCTGAAAAAGATTCTACAGGGGTGTTTGATCCAACTACTTCAATTCTCAAAAACTGTAATAAAAAACTAGTTTTTTATAAACCATGTACAAATAGAAGGCAATTACATCAGAATCTGCATAGTTTTTAAGTTGTTAAGTTATACTCTGCCATAGGGATAAGTAGCCAAGATGAATTTGAGCTTCCTTGTTCATTAGATGCACTGCGCCCAATTTATTTTAACGTGCTAAGATTTTGGGGGGAGAGGAACTCAAACCTGCTGCTCCAGATACATATGTTGAATAATATATAAGACAGATTCAGGGGAGAGTAAAATTGAGAGGACAAATATAAGTGGAGGTAAGCCATATGTCCTTACAATACACACAATACAAGCAGTATTCTGAATTTCCCTGAAAAAATAGTGCAATTTTTCTTAGCATAATATTTACTGTATCAAATTAAGAGGTGCTTTTTTATTTCTATGCAAAATACTATTTCTAAAATATTCCAATGTTCTCTAAACTATCTGATTTTTATGGAACTCTATGCTTTAAATTTAGCTTTTGTACCCAAATATTTACACTTTACAAAAACTGGAGAATTTCTAATAAACTATATTTTATATACTTACAAACAATTTATACATATCCTATTGTATTTTGCGGTTACATTTTGTAGATCAAACTTACATGTACAATAATTTACAAAGGTAGAAGCCTCAAGTGTCAAACATTCCCTTTAAAATAACTATATTATCTATGAACAGTCCTTTACAAATCCTATATTGCAAAATGTACTCAATTGCCTGAAAAATCATTAAAACTTCCAAGTATATGCAAATATGAATTAAAATATCAAGTAGCAAGGTTTGTGCTGCCTTAAGTGCTTGTAACTCTAATGAAAAAATACCTGAAAGGAGCAAATTATAAATGTAACAATAGAAGCCTCTGAAATGAACTTCAAACCAAGTTCGTTGAAAGATTCAGTCAATGCACAATCTATTATCTGCAAATTTTATATACTGAAATCCCTTTAAATACTGATAAAGAATAAATTTGTTAAAGGAATAGATTAAATGCTCTAGCTACACATTTAAGAGGTTCACAACTCATTGCTCATAATCTGAAGAATTTTAAACTATTTTGGTTTAAAAGCTGCTCTGAATTGGCATGTTTCATTTTAGAAAACATATAAACGCTAAGCTTATTGCTACTATTGGACATTTAAGCAATGTCTTCGTGGATCCTATTTTTTAGATTTATATATGTCTTCTTGAGAACCGTTCTTTATTTTTGGGAAATTAATGAAAGCAAAAATCCAGAAAATCTTGCTGACAGAACCGAGAATCAAAAATATATGTAGTGTTCCACAGCTAACAAAAAAAAAAAGGGAGTTTGCAACTTATTTTCCCCAAAGCTACCACAATCCTCATCCATTTATTCTAAAATCTTCATCTACAATATAAAAGTTAGCCTTTCTATACAGTTATCTTGTTTTCGGATACATACTGAGCAAGTTGAATTGTTAATTACAAGTTTCTTGTCACCTAAAGTCCTCAGATTTGGAATTATTTTAAACAAAAACTGGAGTAGTTTTCAGTTTACTAGAAAAAAAATCTATTTCTGAGCACTTTGCTTTTGAAAGCTCAAGAAGATAATACAACTCTCATTTTTGCCTCAAAAAGTCTAAGACCCCTAAGGCTACAAAGACTTACGCGCATCCTTACATTTATACACTGTGAAAAGCCCCACTGAAGTCAATGGCACTATTCACAGTGCATAAGGCCCATGGTTATGTCTTCGCAGGATCAGGACCTAACGATGCAATAAATTAATGCATACTAATGAAAAAAATCAAATCATATTTCTAATTGTATCAAACTTTTACAAAATACACTTCTAAAGCATCCCATATAAGCTTCCTATGTTGTATAAGGTTTCCTGTCCACAGATTCTGAAAGGCACAAATGAACTGAAGAGACTGCTCTTTCAAGTCTTCCAACTATGGAGACAATCTAAAAAATGTCATGTTAGGAAGAGGTCCAATATAAGGCATTAAAATA